AGTACGTCCGCGCGCACACGCCCCGCCTCCCCCCAGTGCCGCCGTCACAAACAGGTGGAGAGCCTTCGGTGAGGCGACGACACCTGCGGGGTCACTCCGGCGCCCCTCTGCCCCCCCCCCCCCCCCCCCCCCCCCCCGCCCCCCCCCCCCCCCCGCCCCCCGCCGCGCCCCGCCCCCGCCCCCCCCCCCCCCCGCCCCCCCCCCCCCCCCCTCCCGGCGCATCCCTGCCCCACCCCTCATCACTTGGCTCCCAGCCCGGGACGCGACGCTGCCTCCCCCGCCGCCGACTCGCCGCGCCGAAGGGGCGGAAGGGGGGGCGAACCGGGCCCGGTGTTGTCGGCGCCGTGCGCGCCGCCCAACGTGTGCCCGGCGCGGCCGGTCGCGCCCGTTGTGGGGGGGCGAGGAGGCATGCCCCCCCCCCTCCCCCCGCAAAAAGGGGGCTGCTCTCCGGGGACAGGGGGAACGCGCCGCGAAGGAGAGGGGCCAGGCGCGCCTCCGGGTCCGCTGGCCCCCACGCCTGGCCCGATTGGGGCCGGCCGGGCCCGTCCGCTGGAATGCCTGCCGGCCGTCGGTTGGCATGCCATTCCCAGGGCACTGATCACACGAAGCGGTCACGCGAGGCGTACGGGAAATCCGCGCGCCGCGCCCACGGCGGCGGATTTCCCCGGCCGGTCTCGCGAGCGCCGGCCGCCCCGCGCACCCGCGCACCCGCACGCCCGCACGCCCGCACGCCCGAGTCCCGTTCCCTGTGCGGGCATGCGCGCGCACGCACACCACAGCCACAGCCGCGCCGGTGCTTTTTCGGGCCGATCGTTGAGGGGGCGGATCGCCCGGCGGTGGCCCAGTCAATCCCCTTTCCGCCCTCCCCCCCCCCCTACTAAGGGTGCATCGCCCCCCTTCGCTTTTTGCTGTCGCCCTCCTTTCGCGCCGCCCTCCCCGTCACACATGTTCGCCTCGTCGCTGTCGCGCTCGGCCGCCGGCCGGTCGGCCGGGCGTGCCTTCCGCTTCGCTTCGCCCCTGGCATCGGGCCCGCTGGCTCCGGGCCCGCTGGCTCCGGGCCCGCTGGCAGTCCTGCCCCCCGGGCTGGCGCTCCCCGAGCCGGTCGCCGCCATCCCCGCCGCCCCCACCGCCCCACACCGCCTGTTCTCGCTGACCGCCAGTGCAGCCTTCAGCGCTCAATCCGCCCTGGATCCGGTCGCTCCCCCGCCGTCGCCCGCCCGCCGCCCGAGCAGCAACGTGAAGTCCCTCTTTTCCGCCTGCGCCGACATCATGGCCAAGAAGAAGTCCACCGTGCAGGAGCGCTTTGCCCGCGTGCAGCGCCAGTCCAAAGCCCAATGGACGCACATCGTGAGCCAGGTGCGACGGTGCCTCCCCCGCCCGCCCGCCCGCCCGCCCGCCCGCCCGCCCGCTCACCTCCCTGACGGCCCTGCCACGGGGCTGCCCCGCTGCGACCCCCCTCCCCGCAGGCCAACAGCTCGCCGGAGCTCGAGAGTGCGTCTGCCCTTCTGCCCTTGCCCGCTCCCATGTGCCCCTGCCTTCGCCCCGGCTGACCTGATGTGGCCCACGCGCTGTGGCAGAGGTCGCCGGCGCCGGAGCCCACCTGCGCTTTGTGAATGCCATCACCCCGGACTTGATGGACGCCTGCTACAATGTCATCATGACCAACATGGCTCCCATGTGCGCTCGACCGCTCCTGGCCCCCCCCCCCCCGCCGGCGCCCGTCTGGCGGCCACTCCTGGCCCTTCTGCACGCCGCTCACCGTTGGCCATCCTCGGCGGGGCGCGGAACAGGCAGGCAGGTCCATCAGGGCCAGGGGCAGCGGAGGGCCGCCCGGCTCTCCTGCTCTCGGGCCACGGAGCGCCCGGCCCAGGGCCCGGTGGTGTCAC